GCGTAGTCGATGATACTGATTGTACTACTGATTCGACTGTCTTCTTACCTTTTTCGCTCAATGTTCTGCCAGTATGCATTTCTAAATTGAATCCACTTTGATCGGAATTATATATGTTACTTGCACTTTAGGTTGATAATTCTGTTTTTATGAGATTGATAAAATTTTGACAATCTAACTTTAAACTAGCCTCATTTTCAACAGATACTTTAGTCACATATTTAGTTATTTTACGCGATACAATTTTATGCTTTTTTTTGAATAGTAATATCCAATTGGGTGAAGCTTTAAACCAAGGCATATTTAACTCATACTTTTTTTGTAAAGCCCATCTTTTAAGATCTAAATCTTGCACTGTTAACTTCCGATTTAAAGCATCTTTGAGTTGTTGTAAAGTATATTCTGAAACTTTAAACAGATTCTCTCTTTTGGTCCCGCCTGTCAAAATTTGCTGTTTCCATGTTCTCAACTGACGTTCTGATGAAACTTGTTTATATTTACTCTGGACGGAAGTTAAAGATAGTTTCTTTTTCTTACCACTTTCCCAGTATTCAACAGCTTTTCTTTTATATCCATCGTCGAGTAGTTCCAATCTTACTATTTGAACCACATGAACCGCATTCGTTGATTGTGGTTTCCACGTCATGCCACAGTTTGATTTTGTTTTGCCACGCACATACTCGAATGTGTTTAAGGTGGAAAATATGAGTAATATTATCTCATGTGAGTATTTTTATATTGGCTATAACCGCCTCGCGAAATACGTATATATACCTATTAGTATAATAAAATTTGTCTAATGAATTTTTTCGTAATAAGATAATAATCGAATTTCCTCAGAGATAGTAGTAATATTTGTTGAACATAATGATTTAAAAATGAAATTCCCCGTAGCTATTTCGTACTTCAAAAATTTGCATGATTTCCTAGTTGCATTTGCTATTTCTTACCTATAGATAAGAATTCTTACTTAAGAATAAGATTCTTACCTACAAAAAATGTTCATATGTCCTTTTATTTGAAGATATTAAAAATATTTCGAAATCGGGATTATGAATGACAGGGAGCTGGGTTCCGGATTTCAGAAAATTGGAATGCAGGAGTTCGGGGTTACCGGGTGGCAGGGTAACCAGCTCAAGGGTTGATAAAATTGGGGTGTAGGTGTTACGGGTTAAAGCGTGGCAGGGTAACCAGCTCGAGGGTTGATGAAATTGGGGTGTAGGAGTTACGGATTATAGCGTGGCAGGGTAACTAGCTCGAGGTTTAAGGAAATTGGGTTCGGGGTGGTAGGGGATCAGGGAAACAAATGAATGCTCTGTTCACTCTCCAATGAAGGGGTAGAGCCCCTAGTGACGGATACTGTATACTTTTGTGTTAGATTTTAAACGGTATTTCATAAACTTCATTTCTTCTGAAAAAATTTTGCAAGAAAATATTTGAAAACATAGCTTTTCTTTCAAGCGACTTAGGGGGTTGCAACCCCTGTAGATGAAATCCATATATTTAGCTGAAATTTTTTCAAAGAATTTTTTAGGGTTTGTTTCGTCAAAAACTGTGCATAAAATACGAAAATTTCGCTATTAAATGGTGTTGCGGGGTAACTTTCGGGGGTAGCTTTCACCCTCTAAATAGTTTATTCGGCAGAACAAAAGTATACATGTGTTTGGCTTTTTTGAGCGTCATAGAACATGAAATAACCAGTATAATCTGCGATTAACAACTGCTTATATTGTATTAATAACAATAAAGGGTAGTTCACCCTCGAAATAATAGATAATAGGAAAACCCTGAAACACGTCAATTTTGTTTTATCATTTTCTACTTGAATATTGGGTTGGGGTGGTTCCCTTGTGAGTATGTAGGCTCTTTTTACAAACTATTTAAACTAAATTAAACAAATAAGGCAATTTTGAGATTCGCGGCTACGCCATATCATACTCCGCATTGCATTATTAAATTAAATATTACGCGAGCGAGAAACTAAAATAAATGAATTAATTGCCGGCACACTGTACTTTCATGAAATTAGTGAGTTCAATAATTAAATGGTTAACAAAGCTAGTTATTAGCAAATCGTGCAGTACTCACATGAAGTGCCGGACCGTCCAAAACAATTCTATGTGCCATTTCAAGCTTAGGAAATAAAATAACGGTAATCAAGCTATAATCGCAATTACAATTAAGTAGCAATTATAGGCACGGTGAACACAATCTATAGTGTTATCGCACACATACTTACAGCCATGTTAATTGAAAAATGAGAAAATTTGCAGTCAGTTCAATTACAGAATTTTCTGAGTGAATTTATGCGTCTACACTAAATCATAATATTATAGCTAAGCTCCGGTTCACCTCGGCAATCGGTAGAGCGGGAAAAAATAAGTGTAGACCAACTCCGGCTTTTCCTCCTTCCTCTATTCCCTTTTAAACATGAACATTCATAATCAAGTAGTATCGAATTTTGTTTGAATTCAGCACGGAATGCTATCTCTTTGTTTCATCTCTCTACTCTGTCGGCCTAACTCTGTCTATCATTTCGTCGAGGCGCAGTGAGTGTGATGCGCTGTCCTTATCTATTCATTGAGCCGTCTCTTTCTAATTAACCTATTGCTATCCATAAGTGGGCGTGCCCTACGCAATTCAGGCATATAAATATTTTTATTTAGACGCAATATTTCGCGTATAACAGTTATTAATAATTAGAGATATCCATAAATTTTTTTTCTTGTGTAAAAATTAATAATTTTGATTTTTAGTTATTAATTTAGCTGGGAATTCTTTATGAAGATATGCAGCGTACAGAAATCAAGCAAATTCTTTCATTGCTACGATAATACTCATTGTTTACATAAAAAGAAAATATAAAAATAATTATTCCTAAATTCTTAGAGCTAACATGCTAGTGCAATACGAGAGAACTAGCCTTCGGCTATTTGGACTGCTTCGCAAAATTAAAATTAAATTTATAAATAAATATATTGCATAGAAAACAGCTCGTTACAGTCTTCCGCCATCTTGAATTTTAAAAATCTAATCGCGGATTCTGATTCAGTGATGCTCACGGGACCCTATAGTGATGTTGGTATTTCTATCTCATAGGTATACTCTTAGGTCTGTGCAAGGGTTAAACTTTTAATCCATTTTTATGAAGTTAGAAATAACAGTGTTTGTCGTATTTCCAACATTATAGAAGTGGACTTTGTTTTATTACATTTCTGGTACATTCCAGAATATGACCATCAGCTTTTCAGGGATATGTTTCGGATTTTCTTGAAACTTGATATGCATATTGCTTATGTGGTACTGTATTTAAGTATGGATTATTAGATAATTATAATAATTATATAAAAAGTTATAAACAATTGAAAATTTTTTACGAAAATATTATGCGAACAATACTTTAATATCAATTTTTCCAAAAGGTATTAACATTTTTTTTAAACAATTGCCCATATCTCGAAAAGTGTTATTTTTATTTTGAAAATTCTTTTTTTATTGAATTCCTTGACATTTTTTCTTTAAGATTCCGTTTTAAAATTCATCGAGCGATTATTAGATGCGACACAGTGAGCGATAATAGTGGATACTCACAGGCCCTACGACGCTTGCTCAGCCGCGCGTTGGCGCTGCTATCAAACTTACCGACTTATCGGCGTCGTAGGACTTGTGAGTATCCACTATTATCGCTCACTGTGTCGCATCTAATAATCGCTCGATGAATTTTAAAACGGAATCTTAAAGAAAAAATGTCAAGGAATTCAATGAAAAAAAGAATTTTTAAAATAAAAATAACACTTCGAGATATGGGAAATAGTTTAAAAAAAATGTTAATAACTTTTGGAAAAATTTATATTAACGTATTGTTCACTTAATATTTTCAAAGTACACCCTTTTATGCGTAATTAAAAAAAATTCGCTTCGATAACTTAAATGGTTACGGAGATATAAATTTTTAAAAACTTTTCGTCAAAAATTTTGAATTGTTTATAACTTTTGATATAATTATTATGATGTAATAATCCATACTTAAATACACTACCATATAAACAATACGTAGACCAAGTTTCAAGAAAATCCGAAACCTACCCCTGAAAAATTAATCGTAATAGTCTGGACTGTGCCTTCTTTCAATATAAAAAAAGAGACGGATGCGAAAGAAAAGAATTCTGCTGTTTTTCTCCTAGATTTTTACACATTTTTAACGATTTTACCAGTTTTTTAAAATTAAAAAAGAAGTGCTATGAGATAGCTAAATTTTACCAGAATCGTATTTAGAAGGTCAACATTCATTGGATAGCATATATAGCATTTCGAGTATGGAATACAATTTCTTTTTAATTTTCTTTATAAAAAATTATTGCTTTTGGACGCTATCTGAAGCCGATATACTGAATTTCGCAAGGGTGCACACGATATTGAGAAGGAAAGAAGGAAACTTTCTAAGCTTCGAAATAAGCCATCAAACGTTTCAATCGGTTGCGTAAATTTTTGGTTGCACGGGTGTTTCGGGACATGGAACGTCCCATATATATCAGAAAATTACAAGCAATTCACTGAAACAGTATCGCGTCATAACATATTTAACATAAAATTTATTATTTTTTCAAACAAAATGCTATATTCTTACGTTAAATTGGGCCAATATTTTTCTTATTTTGATCTTTTTTTTTTTTTTATTTAACGTCGCTTTATTTATGCTCCATGAGTGCTAATCAGCGACGAAGGCTTGCAATGTGTTTGAGAACAATGCACATGAAACTTTTTTCAGTGGTGCTTGTATCAATTAGCAGGGACTGGGAATCGAACCCGGGCCTACTGGGTGAGAGTCCATCGTCCTACCGACCGACCCATTGTAGGCCTCTCTTATTTTGATCTAAAAACCCATTATGATAAATAATTATGATAAATAAAGTACGTTTTGTCGAAACTTTTTTATTGAAAACAATTGAAATAAATAAATAAAATATTAAAGAAACATGCTAATAATAATACATTTCCAGTTTCAGGTACCTCTTATTATTTGTCACAGCACAACCCAAACGAAGTAATATTTAAGGATCAATTGATGAAAAGTACACAAAAGCTTTTACTAGTTGGTGGACCAGTACAAAATCCTAAAAGCATCCACTATGTAAAATGGCTTGAACAATGCCACAACGAACGAATAATCCGAAAGATAAATTTTGGAATTTTTTCCTTACTTTGGATAGATAAATACGATAATGATTGTAACCTTTATAAAACAGTATGTCCTTATCTTCGACCTCCATGGTCAACATTTCATGAAAGACTAATCGATTTTGGATTATTAGATACTTGGTGGATTTTGAAAAGCCATATGATAAATTATGATGTAAATAATCTAGAATTTATATAAAAAATATAATATATTTTCAAAAGAACAATGGCCTCTTTTACATTATTAATATATTTATTTTTAATTGTGACGGAGTAATCCGATCGACATTCGTAAGGATCTCTGCGGCCATTCGCACAAAATAATTAAAGGGGAAATTCGAGAGACGCGAAAGCTCCCATGACTGGATAGTGCGTTGGATATATGCACTAATCGCGCACGAAACTCACTTCAGGACTCGGTGGAAATCTGGTCAGGTTGAATTGAAATCACTTTCACACGCACTTAATACTAAGGTATTTACTCGTAAAACTGCGACGCCGGCACATACGTGAAAAATAACTACGAAATTAGATTTTTCTCGTTAAAGCAAAGTCTGAATAGCTTCGCGCTACTCATAAATAACCAAAGAAACAATTTATAAAATTTACTTACACGTATGTACGCAGGGAAAGATTTACGGCAATACTGCCGACCAATCCTCTATCGATCGCGCGATATCTTGCGCCGTACAATTAACAAACTGGCAATACTGCGTAGCCGCACGTATGATGGAATGACGCCTGAGTATGCAAGAGAAATAGAGAGAGAGAAAACACGGTACTGACTTAACCCGGAGTTGCTGCTACTGGTTACGCTACTTGCCGCTTCTCGGCGTCATCGGCTTCTTGCTAGTCACTCACCTTCTAGAAGTAGGTGATTCCCGCACGGTCGACAATGCCCGTGCGACTATCACATACTTCACGCACGCGATACGTACACTAATTTTTCACACAAGTACGGGAAGTTCCAGTGTAATAGGTTTAAATGAGCAAGAAGAGAAGGAAAGGGGGTTTGCTGATGCTCTCCCTCGCTCGTAAAAAAATATAAAAAACTTTTAGTTTATTAGTTCTAAAATCAATAATTGTTTATTACACAGGCCGACAGAATTTGACAAAAATATTTTACCAAGAACCCGAGTATAGTTTTCCGAAGGTTTTTTGCGCGCTGAATCCGAATCCGAGGTCAGAATTACTCTGGTGGCCCTGGTTTTCGAGATATCCTAACCTTAAGGTGCAAAAAACGCGATTTTTGCCTATATTTGAGGTTATGTAGCAAAGAAAAGAAATTTTTTTTCAAAAAACTGTATACATCAAATTAAAGTATGAGTTTTCTTTTTTCAAATGCCGTTGAGTATGCTCGGATATCTTTTTTTTTCACGAAGTTACACAAATTTGAAAATTTCAAATTTTATGAATTTAAAAAGCACCACATCATTCAGCCCAAGCTATCTAACAAGTAACCATATTAAAGAGCCACTCACCAATTTAAACCAAACTTGAAAATATGACAAAACACTAAAAAATATTGTAAGCATCGTGCTTCTATTTACAAAATGCTCTCTTACGGGTAGAAACCACCCCTGTCAACCCCTAAACAGGCTCACCCACATAACCCTGGGTAGAGCAAGTTTAATTAACTGCTTTTTGATAAAAAAACTTATTTTCTAATCACAGGTATGCGTACTAATATGATCTAGATAGGCCTCATCCCCAAATACCTCCTCAACCCTTTAAAACCAGCCCTCCCAACCCCTAAGCAGGCACACCCACATGACGCTGGGTAGAGCAAGTTAGCCAAGTGCTTTTTATTTCAAATTTGTGTAACTTCGTGAAAAAAAAAGATATCCGAGCATACTCAACGGCATTTGAAAGAAGAAAACTCATACTTTAATTTGATGTATACAGTTTTTTGAAAAAAAATTTCTTTTCTTTGCTACGTAACCTCAAATATAGGCAAAAATCGCGTTTTTTTGCACTTTAAGGTTAGGATATCTCGAAAACCGGAGCCACCAGAGTAATTCTGACCTCGGATTCGGATTCAGCGCGCAAAAAACCTTCGGAAAACTATACTCGGGTTCTTGGTAAAATTTTTTGTCGGCCTGTGTTATTAAAATGAAAACCCCCAACATAATTTTAAAGACCACACTTACGTGGTAACAATAAAAATAATTATAGAGTAGGCAAAAAAAAGTAAAATTCACAGTGACAACAGTCATATTTCTTCGAGAAAACTTATGGGTTTTACCGTATGCCATCCTCATGCTAATTGGGTTTTTCGATACTTCGTGCGGAAAGTATGTACTTTCAGCACGTAGGCCAAAAATGTGCATTCAAACACGATCTTTCCACACGTCTTATAAAAAAATACGGTACGGCACATATTCGGGAAAGAGTTTCTCGTTTCGTGTACCTTTCTACCTTCGCTTTGCTCGGGCGTAAACACGACACCAGACAAGAATCTACTTTTCCACACTTGTATCGTAATATACTATTCCAACGCTCCTTGCGGAAAGTAATAGTGCTCAAATTGGGGAAACCCATTCTCGTTTGGTCTTTTATGACAAACCAATAAGCGCCAGCACATGCTGGCAATACATCTGTGCGTACCCTTACCTAATTTTACTTCCCGCACGCTTACTCTTACCTGATTTTACTTCCCACACGCTCATAGCTTTTCCCGCAAGTCGAATAACCGTGCGGGAATGCTACACGTCCCATACGGAACAGCGGGTGGGATATGGAACTTCCCGCACGCCGTGTGGAAATAGTACATTACGATATAAGTGCAGGAAAGTAGATTCTGGTCTCGTGTGGCGTTTATGCCCGAGCGAAGCGAGGGTGGAAAGGTATACGAGACGAAAACCTCTTTCCCGAATATGTGCCGTACCGTATTTTTTGATACGATATGTGGAAAGCTCGTGTTTGAATGCACGCTCTAGATACTTATTTTTAATGTATTCATTAAGTTATTTTGTCCATTTATGTCGTTAGTAAATTTAGGTGTCCATTCTTTGCATTAATTTTTCCATCACATATTCGAGTTTATTTTTACTTGCTTCTTTTAAATGTTTACGTATTTCTGACTTTTTATTTGTTTGTTTTGATTCTTCTGTAATACTCTGTATGTTTTGATAAGCAGTTACTTTAGCATATGTTACTCTATTTTTATTTGAATTTAAATTAGTCTGAACTTGGCTGTTGTTTAGATTGACTGATTGTACTCTTAGTCTAGAAAAGAATTTTTTTTACAACTTACTCGTATTACGAACTAGGCATCCTTTATAGCTCGCCGTGTGGTTACCTTTATAATTTACATATGTTAGTTTTTTCATTTTTTCTTTAATTGGGCATTCCTTAGTTTTATTGTTTTGTGCATATTTGATACAAACTGCTCTTTTGTAGTAGTAGTTTGTTGTGTGCCTAAATTCTTGGCAATTATATTGAGGGATGTCTCTTTTTACGTTAGTATTCATATTTAATATATTGTTATTTATTGATATTTATTGTTTAATAATCTGTTAATTTTGTATATATCTGGGCTTTTGTGGTAATGTTCTATTTCAACTGTAAATAAAAGAATCGGAAGTTTTGTGACTCGGTGTAGTACGATACGTTGCGAAACTTATCACCTTATGTCCGTATTCTTCAATAGTTTTTATAATATCTTCAATGTCGATTGATGGATGCATACTTGTTATAATGACTTTGGAACCTTTGTCCTCTTTACTCTGATAAATGTAGAATCGAATGTTTTTTTCTTTTAATGTGCTTACGATCGACAGGTATTTTTCAGACGTTGTCAGTTGAATTTTCACTTAGTTGGATGCTAACACTTTCAAAGTTTAACCGTATTTGCTACTGTGTTAAGAACATTTACCAGGGGACGTACGTATATTCTCCGCATAATAAACAAATATCGGTGGTGCTTTGTTTTGTATGAAGTTTGCTTCCTCGGATTTTGTTGGATTCTTTTTCTGGCTTTGAGTTTTATTGTCATCTTGTTGAAATACTGAAAATCTATTTACTGATTGTCTTTGCCAATAATCTGTTAGTTGGGCTTACTTTTTACTAGCGACTTGATCTCCTGGGATAGTACGTAATTTTTTATAGTTTTCGCGTTTCCACTTATAGAAGTTGAGGTAGATATACGAGGTCTATCCGGAAAGTATCGGGCCTACGTTTATATCTTCGCGCCATAGTGTTAGAGCGACCTCTACCGGACAGAAACGTCAACAGTAAAGCCTCACGAATCTATTGGTTACTTACTGACACCTGCCGGACGTATAGTTCATGCACAGCGTGTCTTTATTTACAGTGCCTTTTTCGCGTTCGTCGGATTTTGATATTGTCAAAAATGACTGAAAAACAAGATCAACGAATTTGCATTAAATTTGGCTTTCAACTCGGAAAAACGAGTTCGGAAACTATTGAAATGATGCAAAAGGCCTTCGGAAGCGAGTGTACGAGCAAAACACGAATAAAAGAGTGGTATAAACGGTTTAAGCATGGTCGCACTTCTGTTGATAGTGATTCTCGTTCTGTTGATAGTGACCTTCGACGACAAAAACCGCAGATAATATTGAGCCGATGCGACTTGCAATCGAACAAGATCGTCGTATGACTGTGCGAGAACTAGAAGAAGACCTTGGGATACCAAAAACTATCATTTCAGAAATTTCAACCGAAAATTTAGGAATGAAACGCGTGTGTGCGAAATACATCCCAAAATTGCTCAGAGCAGAGCAGAAGAACATTCGCTTAGAAATCGCTCTGGACAATCTGGAAATGGTCAGAAATGATGATAATGTGCTTAGAAAAGTTATAATAGGTGATGAATCATGGGTTTATGGTTATGATCCTGAAACAAAACAACAATCTTCACAGTGGAAGCATTCTGAATCGCCAAGACAAAAAAAAGCACGTAAAAGTCGGAACAATGTTAAGTCAATGTTGATTGTTTTTTTCGATTGTGAAGGTGTTGTACATCACGAATATGCACCAACAGGTCAGACAATCAATAAAGAATACTACGTTCAAATTTTGAAACGTTTGCGTGATGCAGTAAGAAGAATACGACCACACTTTTGGGAAAGTGGTGACTGGCTTCTCCATCACGATAATCCGCCAGCGCATTCATCCAATCTTGTGCAGCAGTTTTTGAGCAAACACAAATCACATTGCTTAGACATCCTCCATACAGTCCCGACATAGT